TTGTGGCTTTGTTAGAAGCCTTAAGACGTAAATCGTTAAAGGAGAACGTAGTCTTTATGTTAATGCTTTTGAGCTTTGTATGTTGATACACTTGTTGGTCCATATCAGATTGTGATCTGCTGTGTGTTGGACTTGAGCCGTGTGGACTCTTGGCATTGGATAGTGAGCTTGCAGGGTAAGCTTTCGTATCCTCAGTTTAGCCATGTTGTGGTTCCACCATGTCCCATGGGGGTATGGTTATATGCATGCTGTGTTACATGCTTTTGATGTTTTGGAAATGCTATTGAGCTGTTATATGCTAGTGCCTTTATGATATGCATGTGGTGTTCCACCTATACGGTAAGCCTGAGTATGTGGTACATACAAGATGGTGAGGCTGTGGGTGAGGTGCAAGCGGTGTTCCTTGTACTACATGTAGGTATATACGTATTCCTGCATTTCTCTGGCCAGTAGAATAGTGATAAACACACATGGCATGAATATCTGTTGCACTGCATAGTTTTGGAACTGATATTGATATAAATGCTTTTATAACTTATATTGCACATGTAAGTGAGCTTGGGGTGGAAGATCCTTGAGGACCCCTTGTCTTACTGAGATTTCTTGTTTAGAGATCTCACCCCACGTTTGGGGAATGCTTATTTCAGGGTCAGGTAATGTTGAGACCTCAGGCGGTAGGAGGCCGGAGCTGAGTTAGATATTGATGACATTATATGCTGACATGTTGGATGTTGGATATGCATGCTGCCTTTATGCTTTGAGATTCATTTTATGTTTATGATTATCTTGTTGAGATGCTGTTGATTTGGTGAGCATGGGGATTGTCCATGACACTAGTCTTGTTTATGTCTTGTTTATTTGGAGTTGTAATAATGTATCAGGATATTGTCCGGACTACGTGATGTAGATATGTGATTTAGATACTCACTTTATTTATATATTGAGGTATTTCAGTATATGTCTTATTGCAATTTACATTCAGGCGATATTTTATGAAATTGATTAAGTAATCAACTTGGCTAAGTATAATGACGTCATAATTGGAAAAGAAAAAGAATATTCCGCATTTTAATTAAGCGTAGCTTAATACGATGTAATGATAACACTACCGGATATATACGGGGTGTTACAGTTACACACTGTTAAAAAGGTCTTTGACATTAGAGACTTGATAGAAGACCAGAAGGTCGCTGTCTGTTATGAATCCAAAGAAGAGAAAAACAATAAGTATCCATTCTATGATTAGGTCCCATTTATGATGAATAGAATGAAGAGTAAGATGATGAGAATCTCATTATGGATGCTCCAATTTATGACAAGTTCTCTATCTATGATGTACGATTGGGAGCAAGACGATGAGAATCCAGAGGCAAAAAAAAATCTTTTATATTGATTTCGGTAGAAAGTCAACTACTATAAATTCTAATATCTCTGACAAAGTGAAAGTTCTACCCAAAGATGTCATGTGGAATGATCCTTCAATCAATAAGTCTTTCGTTTGCAAGTAATAATATGAATTTGGACACAACGAGCATCACAACATCATGCTCTATGGAGATAAAGATTTATATTTTGGTAGAAGTGTAATTGGAGATCGTCAAGTGCAATGGGACTTGATATTTCATAAGGCAGAATTTGCCTATGACGGATCACATATGCGATCATTAAATCAAACTACAGGCAATAGTCCTTTTAGGATAGTCTATGGGTTTTGTCCTCTTACTCCCTTAGAAATCACATTATTTCTAGTTCCCAAGCAGTTTAGTTCAAATGTAGATGAACATTCCAAGCATATCAAAGAATTGCATTCACAAGTTCTACCAATAATTAGGGAATTTGGTGATATTGTGCCTCAAGAATTGTCTCCTGAATTACCACCTGAAGAAAGTTAATGAAGATGACACAGATTCGAGGGCAAATCTTTTTCTAGCGGGGGAAGATGATGCACTCGAATTGCTAGATTTGGATTAGACTCAAATTTGGATAGCCAACTCGAAATGGGCTTCTGAGCAAGACTCGTCGCGTTGCCATAGGCATCAATAGTTTTGGGCCTTTATATAGTTTATTCCATGATTTAGGGATTTTCAATAATTCTTAATTATTTCCCTTTTAGTTATTCTTAGATTATGTTAGAGTGTGTGTTAATTATGCGTTATCTCCTTTGATTGCACGTAATTATAGTTATTTACCTTTTTTGTTATTTTATTTTGACTACTTAAGGCTTGGAGAACCCTATTGTTATTTGGTTATTTTTGGTTGATAAAATTCAAAAAAGAGAAATAGCATTTTCTCACAATCATTGTTTTCAGTCTTTCTTTCCGTTTAGAAATGATTTACTGTTTCGGCAATAGTTACTGTCACGTAACTTTTGAATTCAAACACGAAAAATGAAAACAAATATATAAATATATATGTATATATATAGTAATCATCAATTATAAAATTCAATGTTTTGTTAAAAATGTAGTGGGTTAAAGAGAAATAACATTTTCATACATCAACATCATACATCATAATTGGAAAATCATAAATTCTAAACACAATGCTTTGATACCATATGTTAGTTTTATTTTTTTCATGTTCAAACATTAAATAATAAGAGCACAAATAAAGATCTTAAGAATTCATGATTTTCACATTGTTATGTTTATGTCAAGATGCGAAAGATTATTTGTTCTTCAAATGATCTTTCTTGAAATCTTTTTCAATCTCTTTACCTACTTTAACGTGCTCTCCTTTCTTGATGGAAAACTTGAGGCGTCTCTAATGGTCAGAGAATGATGAACAAGTTTCTATCTTTTATATAAATTTTTTATCCAAAAGATGTGACTCTTCACATCCAATGGATATGACTACTCCCATCAAGCACTCAAGAAACCTCTTCCCAAAATTCATTTGCCAATGATCATTTAGCCCCTTCATTAATTATTAAATCATATGCATTTATCACAAACACATGAGACATTTCTTACATACTCTTGTCAAATGTGTACCTCAAAATGACAAGTTTTCTTATATTCAAACAACACCATATGACCATGATCTAGGGAGTAATATGTAGCAAATTATTTCCAACCTTTCTCAAGACAAATGTCACAATCATATTTACTCCAAAATACTTCCTATTCAGTGTCATCTGGAGGCTGGAGAAACATTGGGTTTGACATGTCACCACCATATTTCCTAATGAAACTTTTTGGAATATTCTGCAAAAAACATTTTGTTAGCACGTATAGTTAAAGGAACATCAACCAATGTGCCACAGTTTGGCAGATTTTTTATCCAAATACAACGTGAACAATACTTTTTACCTCACTATTACACGTCGAAGTTCGCTACGACTGGTAGCGAACTTTGTCGCCAATAATTTTATGACACTTGACATACTTTCGTAGGAAAAACTGACTAGACCAAGTTCGTTATAAGTGATAGAGAACTTGGTACTTTATGTGGCACACAAATAATATCATGTGTCACAAAATCATTAGCTATGAAGTTCGCTACCATTCTGAGCGAACTTCGACGCCTGACAGTCTGGTAAAAAGTACTAGTGGCACTTTGGTCACTGTTTCATAGTTAAATTCATAAGCATAACAGAAATATTCAAATGTACCTCATAATAAAAATCCAAAAATAAAATACACGGAGAAAAAAATGAGATGAAAGAAAGAATGTGTAACACCCCGTTCTAGAACCGGTTTGTTAACATCGCATTATGATATTAAGCGCAGTTACAATCACATGGGTTCAATTAAAATCCGGATAAATTTTTCATTTTAAAACGTACCGAACTTATAATACCCATTTTCGTGATCATAACCATATTACCTTGCGGAAACAGATAAATTAAGCTTAACACCATGTTCATTTTCCATTTTTAAACCATTAATTTACTTCTTATTTAGTTCACAACTTCTACTATATTGTAGGTTTCTTCATTAGCTATGCGTGGCTTCAAACCGCGCTCAAATCGGAGCACTGTAGCCCAAGTTAGGACAATTGAAGCAACACAAGAGAGTGTTGGTCACAGGCCCCGCGCGCTTCAGCGCGCTACCGGGCGCTCAAGCGCGCGCTATCGGGCGCTAAAGCCTCCATCTGGGCGCTTAAGCGCACGGAGGCAGTAAGCATCAGGCATTCCAGTGTGGATGGGCGCCTAAGCGCGCATCAGGGCGCTCAAGCGCGCTACCCTGGGCGCTTAAGCTCCCACTGGGACGTTTTAGCGCGCAGAGACAGAAGCATCTCCTCCCTCAGTGGCTAGGGGCGCTTAAGCGCGGACCAGGGCGCTCAAGCGCGCAACCCTGGGCGCTTCAGCCCCACCCTGGGCGCTAAAACACGAGGGGGCAGTAAGCCTCCCAACTTTCTGCAGCAAAGGGCGCTTAAGCGCACGCCAGGGCGCTCCAGCGCGCAATCCTGGGCGCTTAAGCCCCCACTTGGGCGCTCCAGCGCGAGGAGGCAGAATGCATTGGCACTCGCAGGGGCAGCAGGGCGCTTGGGCGCTCTCCTGGGCGCTTAAGCGCGCTGCCAGGGAATTCCAATTCCCACATTTCTCAAGTCCAAGCCTAGGGGAAGATGCATCCCCAATACCAACCCCAATTGTCCATGCCCCAAAACTAAATCCTAGCACTCATCCAACCTCTCCTCATGAGATTTAGCTAGAATTTGGGCAGCATGACCTTTGTTTTCTCATCGCTTACCAATTTAAACAAAGGGTACCTAATTGATTTTCAGCCCAACCAATTCAACAACTCCATACATAACAAGCATGCATATATTGAATTTCAAGTAGGCATCATTTACATTACATATCCTTTACAGATCATAGAACTTAGCTTACAAAACACTATGATCATTCCCTTGGCTCCCATCAACAAAAGGTGTAACCAAAGGCATGAGCATAGGCTAAGTTCATCCAATGAATCAAGATATACAAATGACCAAGGGCTTTCAAAATAAAATCCTATACATGTCAACTACAAAAGGCATGCATAAACTCAAAAGGAATGCCACATTTCATGCATAATCCAGATATGGCCACTTGCCACCAGAGGCTCCTGCAGCATCCTTACCTGAAAGGGGATCCCCACAACACGGGGTGAGATATACGAATATATCCAGTAAACCAGAGGTCCTTGGAGCATCTCTCCACCCCACAGTTCCATATCAGTGTAATAGCAATAACAATAATAATGCAGTAAATACATATCTATGCAAAGTGCAATACATCTCCAGGAGAAATCCCTCGAGCTCTCAAGCTGTCCTAAGGAAACTCAGATGCAAATAGTCCTACTGGCCAGCTAACTACCAAGTATGATTTACGCATCGTCATGCCACATACCAACATAGGGAAACACCATCCTATGCCACACCAAATGCATACACATACGTATAACAAAGCATTACACTATTTTATTGCATTTATATACACAATCACAACCTCTACCCTTTCAGGGCTTGGTAGAACAGTCAAGGGAATTACACCCAAGGTTCGAAGGCTTACCTCAATGCTTCAGTCGACCTTTGTTCTTCACCAACAGTTTCAGCAATCCACTTTTACAAATATACACCTATACAAGGGTAATGCAATTAACATATTGAATTCAAGGATAACTCATCATCATCAATCCAAGCTATCCTATTCATACCACAACACAAGGATGAGCTTACCAATTCCAATGAGCTATTCAAGCTCCATAGCTTGCTCCAATGGTTGATCACTCACGGTTGGTCCAAATGTCTCAATCCTAGACATCACAAGGACACAATCAATCATTCAACTCACTAATTGTTCAACATGCTAGAATACTAACCAATCCAAGCATGAATTTTCCAATATTATGAACAATTATCAAATGACTATCTAGGCTCATTTCCACCGATTAAATGTCGTTCCTAGCATTTTTCACAACATGCTCTAAGCTTAAATCTTCCTAGAACATAGTCAATTTACTCACAATTTCTAAAATTCCCACTTTACTATTCACAAAACCCTACTCATGAAATTTTCCATGAAAATAAGGTTCAAGGGTTTAAATCTTACCACCAATGGTTGCACAACAATGATGTGAGTGCTCCTCAAGCTCCCATGGAGGTAGAAGCCACCAAAACTCCAAAATCTCTCCAATGGCCGAATTTTTGAGAGGCAATATCCCTCTCCACAATGCTCCCCACTCAAAACAAAGCAAGGATTATGAAAGAGGAGGAGATTCTAAGCAATTTAGGCTTTTGAATCACTCAAATCGGTTAAGGTTTCCTCTCTCTCTCTTCCTCCCTTTCTTCTCCCTTCTTCTCCCTCTCCTTTCTTCTCTTCTGGTTCGACGGGTTGCTGGGGGAAATGTGGGATTCTTTTGGCTCTTAGTCACTTAACATAGGTTAAGTGGCTTTAAGCGGGTATTGGTTCATCTATCTATTCAACTCCAATAATTACCAAACTTTACCCAAAAGTCTGGAATATTATTCTAGGAATATTACTATTTTTATTTTTATATTTTGGGCACTTTCGCCAGTACCCATTTATACCCCTTAATTTTCACTGAGTACACTTTTTAACTCCAAAGTGACTCAGATTCATTTAATTAAGCCTTATACTTAATTTCACTCACTAAAACATGTTTAATTAATTAATTACACTAGATTTACTAATTAATTAAGTTGGGCTACTATAGAATGTTTACAAGTTTTCCATCTTCGAGACTTTCTCTAAGAATTATCTTGAAGAAAAGGGGAACAGTGACCATTTTGCCATTGTTCCCATACATTTTTAACTAAATGCCACGTCAATAGTCTTTTTTCTCAAACTGTCACGTGGGCAAGTTCGCTGGGCAAAGTACTGAACTGTGCTTGCTGATGCATCAACTTCCTGGTGGTGCACAAGTTCGCTAGCCAGAGTAGCAAACTTGGCTGCAATAAATGCTGACAGGTTTGGCAAGTTCGCTGCCCCTTAGAGCGAACTAGGTGTGCCACGTGTTTGACATGCACTTAGTTCACTGAGGGTCCAGGCGAACTATGTGCCATGTGGAAAAAGCCACATAGTTCGTCGTTGAATGGGACAACGAACTAGGTGCCAAGTGGCAGCCACTGACACAGTTCACTGTACCCTGTAGCGAACTCTGTGCCACGTGACAATTCCCTGAAAGTTTGCTGCATGGGACAGAGAACTACCTGCCGACAGTTACAGTTTAATGCCCTGTATAGGGAACTCAGTGCTATTTATACCCACACATTCCCTTCCACGCCCACTTTGTCATTCTGTTGCATTTTTCTTTGAAAGATCCCTTGTTTTTTGTTATTTGTTGCCATTTCAATTCATAACGAGTGAGAGTAACAATGATTTAATATGCATTTTATATTTCAATGGGAGAAGATATTTTGGACCGAACAGTCAGGTGTTTGAAGGAGATACGAAGATTTTCCGCATGAGTCCACTTTGCAAATATACTGAGCTGTAGAAAATAATATACAAGAAATTGAGATTACAACGAAGTCATCCCTGTCTCGACTGATTGCTAGATGCGCCTCTCGTAACCCGGTGCAGTGGGTTGCTGTGGAGGTTGTGGAGGATGAAGATGTGTCATTAGTAGTTGATGCATTTCGACAGCATGGACAGTCCTCATACATCGAGTTGTATGCGAAACTAAACATCGGTGGAAAGGCAAGCACTCAAAGTTACGTCCCTGCCAGTTACTCCATAGACATTAACGGGGAGCCGCAAGTAAATTCGGATGATATGCATGTCTCATCCCCACTAACAATGCCTTTAGATGTCATTCCTGCCCATGACATGTATGATCCCTCGTGGCGTACTGATAGTTTCGAGGAAGAGGTTGATGAAGGTCTTGTCCCTGACAGTGAGTCATTAGACACAGACGTTGATGGTGATTTCGAAATGGAGCCGTCTAATGCATTGTTTGAACCGATTCCATCACCGGGCATTGTTGGTACGCATGACCCACCACCTCCTGCAGGTTAGGTTATTTATCGTTGTTTTTATTTTATTTGAAATGGTATTAGTAATGACATGCGAACTTGGTGTCAAACAGGGGAGGATAGTGTACCATTTTGGTCGCAAATAAGTCATTACACAAATATTAACTGGGCACACCCCGATCAAGAGTGTCATGAAATGCAAGGGGCACAAGTACCAAATTGGCAGATGGGTCAAGAGTTATATAAGGACCAACAGTTTGAAAGCAAGTAGGATGTACAGATGGCCATCAAACAATATTGTATGGCAAATCATCACACAACTGTCGTGCTAAAAAGTGATATGAAAAGGCTAATAATGATTTGTCAAAATCACAATGACGGTTGTCCATGGAGGATGCAGGAATATCTTAAAAAAGGCGGTCATGAATGGTTAATAGGCATATGGAACAACATCCATACATGTGTTAGTCAATCACTTTCACAGGATCACAAACAACTTAACTCAAATTTCATTTGTTCGTTGATCATCGGTAAGTCAACCAGCCTCTCTATGTATACAATAAATACCGTTGTTATGCTAATACGCTATTGTTTGTCAAACCGCAAAAATGATACGTGAAGAGCCACGTGTTAAAATTGGTTTAATCCAGGAGAGGATTGCATCAAATCTAGGATTTCATATATCGTACAGAAAGGCCTGGAAAGCAAAGCATAAGGCAATTGTGAGGGATTTTGGGGATTGGGATGAGTCGTACGCATTTCTGTTGAGATGGTTGGATTATATGTTGTTATTTTCTCCAAGATCTGCTTATAAACTGGACTTGAATGATCATAGGATTGATGGTCGCCTCGATGGATCGCACAAGGTGTTCAAAAGGGTTTTTTGGACATTCAAACAGTGTTGTGATGCATTTAATTATTGTAAGCCTCTGCTCCAGATCAATGGGACACATTTGTATGGGAAATATCGCGGAACGCTATTGATCGCTACAGCCGTTGACTGTAACAATTATGTCTTGGATTGATCGCATTCTGAAGGGAAAATGGAGTATATCGTACGATGCTGAAGGAAGACGATTTGGCCACATGACTACAAACTTGTCCAAGTGTGTTAACAAGGTCCTTAAAGGTGTCAGAAACCTACCTATCACGTCTTTTGTGAGCATCATATACGCTAGGCTAAATCAATACTTTTGGCACACGGGCAGGAGGCCCAAGAAGAGATCGACAAAGGTAAGCGTTACACCAAAGTGTTCTGGGTATCATACGTTAAAAACCAACAAAAGGCTGCGACACACTTTGTTACGTCGTATGACAGACAGAAAACATGATTTGAAGTTCAAGAGTCTTACAATCAAAAAACCAATAAAGGCGAAAAGAAATGGTGGGTTTCGTTAGCTGATCGGGCATGCTAGTGTGGTGAGTTCACTGCTTTTAGGTACCCATGAAGTCATGTGATTGTAGCATGCAAATCAGTTAACCATGGCCCCTTATAGTACATTGATCCTGAATATAATGCATCATATCAATGCCAGGTATATTTCGGTCAGTGGTACCCAATTGGTAATGAAGATTTCATACCACCCAACCAAGGCCCAACCATTCTCCCGGATGTGTCACTTAGACGTCAAAAAGGCAACAAGAGTTCTTGGGGAATAATCCTGAATATAATGCATGTTTTCTTGGGGAATAATCGGGGAACTAGAGTTCTTTCAAGATCACATAGATTTAGGGTAACAAGGAATTGAGCCCTAATTAACTTAGATAGAATTGATTGGCATTATATTAAGAAAATGTTCTTGACTCTTTAATTCATAACATAACGAGGATATTGGGGGAAGTCGAAACCCTAACTACGCTTGTTTTAAATTCTTTAATCAATCATCATCTTTTTCAATTGACTTTTTAATTCTGAAATTTCTTTAATTGCATCTCATTACTTGTCTTTAATTTTTAAGTTCTTCAACTACAATTCTCTCCAATCCAACTTTTGATTGTCCAACTAAAACGCGATTAGCGAACTAGTGCTTGAAATTCCGATCCTCGTGGGAACAATCTCGTACTCCGGTACACTTTATTACTTTACGACCGGTGCACTTGCCGAGTCACAACAACTTCCCTCGCCTCGTCCGATGCCATGTGAACAACTGTCTCTATACGGTCACTATAAAATAGTACAATATGTTAAATTAATATGTTGACGATAAAATTATTAAATACAATATGTATAATATAAACCCTAAATGCATACCACATGCGTATGAACCGTCGATCGCTACGTCATCCACCATCGTGTATGATCAAAGAACCACTATATATAAGTACTGTTGACAGATAGGTGTCCATCAGATGTGTTAGCCTGAAGTCCCTGTAAAACGAGGGCATCCCTCGAATGCCATTGCGCTATGTACAGACCGTGGTGGTCCCTCCAGTCTACGTCACCATTACCAATAAGGGTAACAATCAGAAACTCGAAACACGGTAGTGGATCACTCGGGATCGAATGCCTATATCCAAACTGTCGCAGTACTCGATCAGGCTGCTGGTACACGACAACCTGGTAGTGTATGAGTTGACATACAATTAACCATCTGCGGGCCTCGTCGTTTAACGACTGATGTGCTGGGAATCCATGATAAGGCCTCCACCGTATCCTGCGGCTAGGCATAACGTCAATATGATGACGGTAGCGTCTGATGTGAGAGAAGACGAACCGTCTCGACGTATAAATGTTAAACCTGCAAACAAATTTGTGCAAACAAGATTACTAATTTATATAATGGACACAATATCTAAATTGGAATAAAAACATGATAATGCATTTAAATAATTACCTGGCTCCATATATAGCGTCGGGGTCAGTGACATCTGGGACACCAGTTGAGATGGTAGGGAAGTGCGTCCATGCCCACAAATGCAGCAATAAAGCACATCCTCCCATGTCTAACCGACTGGGCTTTGTGACCTTGCACAACTCCTTGTACAAGTTCGCAAGTATGGCAGAACCCCAAGAATATGTCCTCGTCTGCTAGAAATCGTCGAGGAATAATAAATATCGAGTCGGGACGAAGCTGGATGCAGTCTCAACGGATAACATCCTCCCAATATGCACAGGATCAAGGCATGCGTGTATCTCATCCGATCAACCTCAGTGCTGGCATGGTCTGCATAATGCAGAAATCTCTGATGAAGAAATGTCAGCGACAACTGGTTCTTACAAAAATCTCGCTCTCGCCCGGGCAGAACTTCCAACAAATTAGTAATCATCTGCTAGAAAGGATGGCCTCCAGTGCGCCCATAGACTACCTCCTCATCTGTGGGCAACCCCAGCAGATGGTGAACATCCTCCAAGGTGATTGTCACCTCACCCATCAGCGTTTGAAATGTACGCGTCTCAGGCCGCCATCTCTCAACCAGGACTGATATCAGCGAGTGATCAATCTGTTTACGAAATAGTAATAATTAACTCAAATTTATAAAACATCCATCGATGAATGCAGCTTGTACAAAAGTAATAAACTAACCTCGTGGTTGCGCAGACACGCAACATGATAAAATCCAGCCTGCCTAAGGTACGACTCGATATCCTCTGGTATATCAGTGTGATCGTGTGTTGCAGCGTGCCTAACATTAAGGACACGATCCCGTACCAAGGGGTCATCCGATGTGTTCCACACATGGGTGGAAATGTGTTTCTCCTGCAACACAAGGAGAGAACCGTCGGATGGACCCGGGTCGATGAAAGTCTGATGTGGGTCGTGCTGGTTCATTGATCTATTTACAAAAACAATTATATTACAATTATAAAAGTGTAATATATAAAAACTAAATACTAATTACTAAGAAATAATTCAATATCAAACATCTGGACAATATTCTATAATTCATAAATAAATAAACATTAATTAATAAAAAATTACAACATTAATATACATAGAAAAATTAAAATAATTAAATGTTACTTAGTTTTATTAAATAATGCATTAATAATACCACACATTTAATGTTATTAAATAATAATATGATACCATTACTAATTCTTCTAACCTAAGTTTTCTACCCGAAATCAATTCACATTCACAAATAATATTGTATAATAATGGGTAATCTTTAAATAATACCACACAATTAATATTTAACACTATATTTTCAACTTATAAATAAATATATTTAATATTATATATCTACATAATTTTATTTAATTTACTATTATTAAGAATTGTATAATAAAAAAATATTAAATACCAAAATTTAACAACATTAATCTACAAAACCCATCTATCTTATTTCGCAACCCTATAACTACATAATGTTTTTAATTTAATTTTATTAAATATGCATAATCAATAAATTATTAAATACAATTAACAACAATAAAATAAATTTTTTCTAAACTACATTTCAACCTATACACTAATGCCTAATTATAAATTATTAATTACTAAATTTAGTAACATTAATATAAATATTTTTTAAACTAATGCCTAATTAAAAATTATTAATTACTAAATTTAACAATATTAATAAACAATATTTAATAAACTAAAGCCTAAGCATAAATTATTAATTACTAAATTTAACAACATTAACAAACAATGTTTTATAAAGTAATGCCTAAGGATAAATTATTAATTACTAAATTTAACAACATTAAAATAAATATTTTATAATTTAATGCCTAATTATAAATTATTAATTACTAAATTTAACAACATTAATATAAATATTTTATAAACTAATGCCTAATTATAAATTGTTAATTACTAAATTTAACAACATTAATATAAATATTTTTTAAACTAGTTCCTAATTATAAATTATTAATTACTAAATTTAACAACATTAACAATCAATATTTTATAAACTAATGCCTAATTATAAATTATTAATTACTAAATTTAACAACATTAATATAAATTTTTTATAAAATAATGCCTAATATTATTAATGCCTAATATTTTTAATTAATACATTAATATAAATGTAAAAACCTAACAACAATAATATTAAATCATACATTCATAAGAAACAATTCTATCCTATTGTCACAATTGTGTCATCTAACCTAAGGTTTCATGCTAATAATATTTATTAACAACATTTAAATACAATACATAAAGCTATAAAGTCAACTAACCTAAGGTTTCATGCTAAAAATATTCATTAACAACATTAAATACAATACATAAAGCTATAAAAAAATAATTTCATAAAATACTAACATTAAATGTAGAGAAAGAAACACAATGAGAGAGGAAGAGAAAATGTTAAAGAGATAGAGTGAGAGAGAGAGAGAGGAGATGGGTTGGGGAAATGGGGAGGGGGGTTTATATAGGAGTGGGAAAGGTATGCGTTGCACCAAGTTTGCTGCCCACCCCAGCGAACTTGGTGCATGTCTGCCAAGTGTCATTGTAGCTGTTACGCAGAGTTCGCCTACCTGCCCAGCGAACTTCACTGCATGTCTGCCACGTGGCTGGACAGGTGAGAACGTGCAGGAGTATTAATTGCACAAGTTCGCTACCTGATGTAGCGAACTTGTGCACCACCAGGAAGCTGACACATCAGCAAGCACAGTTCGCTACTTTGCCCACGTGGCAGTTTAGAAAAAAAGACTGTTGGCATGACATTTAGGTAAAAAAAAAAAAAAAAAGTGGCAAAATGATCACTTTTCCAAGAAAAGGATTGTTGTGGGGAGAGGATGGTTACTTATGGATGTTGGTGTATACTTTAATTCCACTTTCTTTGTGTGTCTGGTTAGTGGCAACAACTAGTAAATTTCATTATGTGTGATTAGTTGAGTCAAATAGTAAATTTTATTGCCTTTACGAAATATTGGTCAAAATTTTGCATTCCTGCGAAACTTTATTTGGTTAACTTGTCTTTTCTTCTTTTAATTGGGATAAATATTTTGATGTTTTAGAAAATGAAAGTACGTGGAGTTTATGTGGGCCATAAAAAAAGATATGGATCCCACATACTTTTATATATGCATTAGAAATAAAATTATCTCCTACGATACGAGAAATATTAATTCCATTAATTATATTGACCATTTCAATGTGTTCCATTTCAAGTCTCATTCAATTGTTTTTTTTCCAATTCTTCTTTTATTTTTTATTATGGGCCTTACTTACAGTTGCATGCATTCATAAGCCAATCTTCCCAACTTCATCACTTCTGCGATGGGATAACTTGAGGATTCATTTAAAGGTTTAGTATATCTTCTAGGGATAATTTATTTTCAGTGATTTCAAAAAGATATTGTTTTAAGATTGATAACAATGTAATTTTTTATTTAATTTATTTCAGTATTATATATATTAATTTTTATTATTTTAATTTTTTAATATTCCAACCCAAAACAATATCATTTTATGTTCAATGGAGATAATTTTCTCTATAGTGATTGGAGAAACATTAAACCCTTCATTTAATTGTTATTGTTATTTTTTTTCAATATCTAAATAGTTATTTCTTTTTTCACAAACAAATAATAATTTATTAACTACCAAAAATTAATAATAATTCATTAAAATTATAAAATTAGGTTATTATGAATAAAACAAAACAAAAAAGAAATCCTACATTTTTTATATGGGGCATGTAATATCTGAAATAATAATTTATATCACTCTCTAAAAAAAACAATATTTTATGTTCATTAGCGGAGTTATATGATTTGAGGTGATATTTTTCTCTTTGAAAAGACATTTGTTATGTCTTAGAGACAGAGATGTCCAGCCCAATGGACTGGTATGTTAATCTTGGTTCTAATGCCCTCTCCAAGGTATATATGAAAGAGATACCCTTGAGTCAAGCAGATCACTGTGCACAACGAACTAATAATGGCGTTAGCCAATGGTGTGTGTGTGTGTGTGCGCACAGTGACAGCATAACAGTAAGAGAGAGTGTAACGTACCTTTAGGGTTTACCTTGTATTTATAGAGGTTACCTATGATTAGTATGATGTGGATCTTTGGTGCCTCTGATAAAGGCCCAAGCCTGTTTGCTATGCTGTCGTACTAGGATTAGTATCCTTGATGGATATTATCCGTAATTGTAATTGATTCAGATCTTGAATTGCCCTTTATTGGGCCTATCATTCAATGAGCCCCTTATACGGGTCCATAACAGTTGCCCCTCAGTCAGGCTACCTGTGTGTCCGGGTTGCCGAGGTGAATTTCCTTGCATTTTGCCTCAGGTTCTCTGCTGAGTTGAGAGCGTTTGAATTTTATAAACTCTTTGCATACGTTCATTGTAGCTCAGGATTTTCCACTGGAGTCCTCATTGCCCCTTATCTCGGCAGGTTGAGCAGAACCCAAGGAAAATATTTCACGTGTTCCTATGCCGAGTTTGGAATGATCTTGAGTGGTTGAGATTCAACTAGCGAGTTGCCCCCAAGTATTATTCATTACACACAATTTCTGATTTTGGAAACTTAATTCTGTAACCGAGAGTAATTTTCCTCGGCCACTTGCAAGACAGGTTGTGCATGAACTCAGCGAGATAGTCTACTTGTGCGGCCGGGTAACGAATATGCTTGAGCAGTTGGGATCCAATTGGCGAGTTGCCCCCAACCTCAATCGTACAACCCGACCAAGAGTTGTTATGTACACGTGTCTTCAGTTTCATGTGCTGACTTATGAGTAGTACTCATTTCATTCTGACACGTGCTGTTGGCCGCGTGCTTTAACGTGCTGCAGCTGTTTTATGCCATTTTCACGTTTCGTGCGCATTTATTATCAGCATCATTTTAGGTGTCTAATCATTGCTTTTTAAGTGCAATGACACTGGTGACTCTGACCCTTGCCATCCACGACTGTTGCAGTTAACCCTTGAGAGTGAAATGGCATTGGTACCCCTGACCCTTACCATTCGTAACCGCAGCAGTTTCCCTCGTGCCTATATAAGTACAAACTTTTTTCTCCTTTTCGTTCTTTA